CCAATACCAGAAGTACACTTTCTCTCACACTCTGCCCAAGTCCAGGCATGAAGGGAACATCAAGGCACAGCTCTTTTCTACTACAAGAGTAGGATGGGTAAGGAAGTCACTCCAAATGACCAGTTTCTCACCCTAGCTCAAACCATGAAAATCAAGTCCCTTATATCCCCCCTAAGGCCTATCACTCAGGGACTTGCTAACTAATGCTCTCACAAACTCTCCTTATTTAGAATCAGTTTCTTCTAGTAAAGTTAGGTCTTTGGCCCAGCTCGTTGAGCATTGGCCTATGAGCAAGGAGGTCACGGTTCGATTCCCGGTCAGGGCACATGCCCTGGTTGCGGGTGTGATCCCCAGTAGGGGGTATGCAGGAAGCAACTGATCAATGATTCTCTCTCATCACTGATGTTTCTATCTCTCTCTTCCTTCCTCTCTGAAATCAATAAAAGTCCATTTAAAAAATAATAATAAAGGTAGGTCTTTGGCAGCAGGTAGCTTCATCACTTACCAGCCTGGCAAATGAAATAATGCCCCCGGGAGCACAAGTCTACTTTTGATGAGACCCAGTTGGACTTTCTGGACACGTAAGTGCAGCTGGTGGGCTTGGTGGCTCGGCCGGCTGTGACATCTGCAGAAGGAAGACCAGACCCAGATGAGCTTCATACTCAAAGGTCAAACATTTAAAAAAACACTTTTACTGAATTTATTGGGATGACAATGGTTAATAAAAAGTCAAACATTTAAAAAAATAAATATAGCCTTGGTGTAATAAATATAGCAACGATGTGACCTGGTTGCTGGTTCAATTCTCAGTCAGGGCACTTACCTAGGTTATGAGTTCAATCCCTTAGGGAGGCAACTGATCCATGCTTCTCTCTCTCTCTCTCTCTCTCTCTCTCTCTCTCTCTCTCTCTCTCTCTTCTAAAATCAGTAAAAGCATATCCTCTAGTGAGGATTAGGGAAAAAAAATATATATATATGAAAACCAAATTTTGCTACCTTTCAATAGATGAAAAGTTAGGTTCCCTCACCACATATATTATAGATTATTTTTTCATATTATGTGTTCTTTGTCACAAAGCTAGGCATTAATTTATTTAGACTTTAATGAAGATACTTAGGACACAATGCCTTGGAGTTTTTTCTAAGACCCCAAGATGATGGTACATAATTTTGAAAATATCTAAGAAAGACAACAAGTGGACAATTTCTCTCCTAGTTTCTGCATTAGAGAACTTGGAGCCAAGAATGATGAAGAGATATTTACAAAGTGACCATAAAAGGTTTCCCACTTCAGAATCTTGCACAGTATTTTCAGTGAACTATTAGGTCAGTTAACTTTTGATAGGCTCTGAGAAAATCCCATCATCTTTGCTACACAGACAAATCAAAGGCTGCAGCAGAAGAGCAGAAATATTGCAGAAGAATGATGGTAATGAGTAAAATGACTGATTTTTCTGTATACAAAAGCAGAAAGACAAAAATGTTTTCTTTCTCCTGTTCCTTAATAAAAGTAAGGAAGTTTCCCTCATCAACCTCAAACCTCAGAGTCTTACTTGGGTAGTTGTTTTCTTGATCTTTCCCCAGCAGCATTACATTTTGCCCAATCCACCACTTCTTTCCTTCTTCCAGAAAGTCCCAGATGAGATCTTGCACCTCCTGGTTCCAAGTGTAAGCAAGGTGTCCTCCCAGGGCACGGCAGTAATTTTCTGCTTCCTTAAAGCTGCAGTGAAACCTGTGAAGCTGATAACAGTAACTTTTACCACGGAGCTCTGGGCTGCTCAGCTCGCTTCCTAGAATGAAGCTTGTGCTGAGGTATAACCACAGCCAGGCTCTTCTCTGGAATAACATTTTCTCTGTGAATTGTGAGCACAAAAAGTGTGGAGGCTCAGACGCTGCCTGGCCCTTTATATTCTTGGTGAGTTTGTCTTGTTCATTTCTATTATTCTCTTAGGAACTGGGAATAATTTGTCAAGGAGAAAAAAGGTTGTGTTTTGTTTTAGGGACCAGGTGGAGTTCCTATTAGCTGAAAACAAACAGAGTAAGAAAGCAATGGGCCTTTATAGCTGGGGCACTACCCTCCGTGTTTACACAACTGGATACGCCTTCAGCTTTAGAATAGATCTTTATTTGCTAAATCTAAGCTGTAAGGAAGCAGAGAATGATGAATATCTAAGTCAGTGTTGTTAAAAATTGAGTAATGTATTATTTTTGTTTTAAAAAAAGGAAGCTATGAATTTAAATTGTCGTACTGTTTCTTAAATACATTCACTCTATCCTAAATCTCTTATTTAACTATACCCCAAATCTTATATTCACAAAAACCAAAGAATAAATATTTAATGAAGGAATGAATACAGATTAAATACAAACACAACTGAACACCAGTGAAATTAAAATTTGCTGAACTAAATAGCCACTTGTTAAATACACATGGTTCTGGCCTATAGCCACACAGGTCCTTTTGACTTGGTCACGCAGTAGGGAAGAATCAATTCTCTCGTTGCTTTTCTTTAACTTGCTGAAAAACTTCTGTTCATACATGCCACTCGATTCCCACCTGCAGCACATCTATCATTTATGTTCTTAACCAGTTCTTTTTCTTGGTGCCAAAATGGGAGATAAACACAAATAAATGTGGGCACTGGAATCACTTGGCAGGTTTCAGGTTTCAGCTGTTTATCCTACTGATACTTACAATTGCTCTTTAATACCAAAATGAACGTGGTACCAACATTAAAAATTCTCTGAAGTGTAGACCCCAATACATCCCCGTTTAAAAAAAATACATTAACCAAGTGAAAGATTAATATGGTCTAGTTCCTACATTCAAAAGTCTACAGTCTAATTAGGAAAGACATAATTGCATTTAATAAAAATATGTTTAGTTAATAAAGAAAGTGCTACTAGGGAGGTACGGCTTCCACCTATGAAGGTTCGGCCGAGGGAACCATTTCCGGCACTTGAACACATAGGATGGTCTGTAGATGGAATGGGCATCTTGGCGGAGGAGCCAGTGTGAGTAAACGCACAGAAGTGGGAAAGTGGAAGGTATTTATAAAGAAAAAAAATCCTCTGTGCGGGTCCGTGCGGGTGTCCTTGGGAGAGAGTAGTGAGAACTGAAATGACAAGAGAAATGGTTCAAACGCGAGCAAGGTTTCTGAGCGGAGGAGTCCGCCAAGCCTGTGCTGCAGTGAAATGGCTCCGGGGCAGGATACTTTCAACAGAAAAGTCACCCATGGTCTTGATTTTCCAACATCCTCATAAACATTCGGACATGTACACAAACATACATTCGTTTTAGGCATGTTTCAGTGAAACCTGAAGTTGCTGGCATCTTCTTCGAAGTCTACACGGGTATTTCACCCAGCGATGCGATTCATGTCGACCCTTTTTACAGCGCCTGATGCTTTCTCAGTACATGCTTTATCTAGAGCACAGGCATGCCAATACAGTCTTCAACGGAAAAGGTCAAGAAATCGGTGACTTGGGTCGCTAAGAACCGAAGAATCAACATATAAGTACTTTCTGTCCAGGTTGCAGAACCACAGACGAACTCAGCTGAGCGGTCCACCTCAGTGCACAGGGACCTCCTACGCGCCCGGTGCGGACGCCGGAAGTGGGGCGGGCGAGCAGGCGGAAAAGGCGTGGCCGCTGCGATTGCGCGCGCGCGCGCGCTTGTCAGTGTCCAACCAGAGCCTGAGGACGGAGCGCCGCCTTCCCCCGCCCAGAGGCGCCGGCTCCACCCCTCTGCCTGGCAATTGGTGAATTGGCAGCTCCGGGGACGGAGATGAGCGGTGTCCCTCCACCTCCTCCAATGGAAATGAGGCAGAGGCGGGCCCAGGGGCGAGAGGACCATGGCGTGGACACAACTGAAAGTGAGTCTGGAAACTGGGTCTGTCGCATGGCCGAGGAAGAGTCGGCGAGTGCAGGGCTAGCGGGGAATGCAGGGGTAGCCGGGGCGAGGTGTGGACGGGAGGCCGCTCCGAGAGCGTCGGCCCGTCTGTGTGTCTCTGCAAAGGGTCGTGCGTGTGCATTTGTACGCATGTACTTGGTCCGTGTGTGTAAATGGCACGTGTGTGTCTGCGTAGACGCCAGACTTTGTCAGCGCGCGTGGGCCAGTGACTACATGACGGCCGAGCACTGCGTGCAGTTTCCAACGTGCAGTGAAGTCACAAGACCTGCTCCCAACCCGTCTGGACAGAATGCAAGGCGGGGGCTCCGTGTAACGGTGCTGGTATTTGTTGATTGACATGCAGGGGCGTTCCCACGGCCTGGAGACCAGAAGTGAGACCGCGAATACTGGATCTACATTAACAGCTAGGTCTGATCCTTATAGGCAAATGTGACCTTTGAACAAAACCCAGATCTTTATTCTGGCCAAGATCTCTGCCTGTTTTCCCAGCTTCTCTTTGAGCCATACTTTAACTCCTCGGTTCCAGACGAACCTCCCCCCTCCCCCATTCCCCTCTGCCAGGGGAGAGCCTTTGCGCTTTCCCTCCCCCACTGCCTCCTGGTTAACTCGCGCTTATCCCTGGAATGTTAGTGGCACTTGCTCAAGGAAGCCTTCCTCTACCTCTGAGGTTCAGTTCGGTTCTTCTTACCCTATACCTTCTTCTTCATAGCAGTTGTAGTTATATATTTACATGATCATTGATTTCCGTCTCCTCATGAGATTGTATTCCCCAGAAGGCAAGGACTCACTGATTAGCCCATCTATGAATGACTGAATTAACGAATGAATGACCCAGCATCTGGCAGTGATAATTAGAGAAAAGTATTATGAACCATGGTTGAACTAGGAGAATGGTGGTTTTTTTTTAAATTTATATTTATTGTTGAATATATTATACATGTCCCGCTTTTCCCCCATTGACCCCTCCTCTGGGAGAATGGTTCTTGACCTAATAATACCTGATGCTCCTTTTTTTAAAAAAATTTGCAACTCCCTTTATGATTCTGAGATGGAGTTTATATACAATGTAATATTCCTGTGTGTGATTTTAAAAGGCATTCTAATGTCCTAATTAGAATATAAAGGAGAAATGAAAGTAATTTAAAATAATATGCATTTCAATGTGTAAATGGTAGGGCACGATACCTAGATAGTGAAATAGTCAAGTGTTTCAGCCCCTGCTTAGAAATTCTAGTGCCACATGTATGTTTGTCAAATACCCCAAGCAAAGCACCTTACCATTCCTGATGGATTTTCTGAAATAGGGAACACTTCTTGGTAATGTTCTGTGCAAACTAGCACAGGCCCTCCATTTACAAGGTCATTGTATTCCTGGAAAAGCCAATGCGTATGACAATATGGGAGGTGGTTTTGTGTTTATTGGGAAAGGAGGGAGACCTGTTCTGGCAGAGAGCTGGGGGTATTGCGCCATGTGGCATGTCATTGTGTCCTCTGTGCGTGGGGGTTTAAAGGGCTCAGAGAAGGTGCTGCAGCCTGGCTCTGAGGGCCAGTGGGCTTTTTTTCTCCCCCAGAAGCGGGCGCAGGATGCCTTGATCATCCTTGGGGGTGGAGGACTGCTCTTCGCCTCTTACCTGACGGCCACGGGGGACGAGCATTTCTACGCTGAACACTTGATGCCGACTCTGCAGGGGCTGCTGGACCCTGAGTCAGCCCACAGGCTGGCTGTTCGTGTCACCTCCCTGGGGCTCCTTCCTCGCGTCACATTTCAAGACTCCGACATGCTGGTAGGTCCTCTTGGGACACCTTGTACAATACAAGGTCAACATCCTCTGACTTACACAGTGGGGGCTGAGCCTTCTGAACAGCAGAGTCCCAAGTTAGCCCCAATTAAAAAAGCTGTCATCCTCATCTACGGATCAGGAAACTGAGGCACCGAGGAGATAAGTGAATTATCCAAAGTCACACAGCTGGGGAGTAGATGAGCCAGGATTCAGACCCTTGGAGTCTCACTTGGCAGCTGTCCCCGTAGCCACAGGCCTGCCTTGCTGAGGTCAGGTGGCTCAGTCTTCACCTCTGCGAAATAGGGAAACAAACATGCCAGTCATTAAACGCCTCCTGTGACACAGGCATGTGTAGCCAAGCCTTCCAGGAAGGCACACAGACATCCGTCCCAGGGTTTTTCACTCCTGTGTTAACACAGGGCCCACGTGTGCCTGTTACTGCTCTGGTTGCCGGGGTTCCTGCAGCTAAAGAAACAGAAGAATCACCTCCTGCTAGCACCTGTGTCCTCGTGTAAGCCCTGGCAGGTTCCATCCGAGAGACTTCTTACCAAACGGGGGGACGTCAGAATGACGTGAACATGAAGACAGCAGGCAAGAAGCACTCTTCGGGGAAGGGTCGCTGTTGTAAATCAAAGCAACCGTTGTCTGCATCTTCCCTTTTGGTCTCAGGGTCCCTGTCACTCCCCCGTCCTGCAGTGTTGAGCAGATGTGTTTACCCAGCTCCCACACTGAAAGGCACTGTGGGATCAGAGCGCTCTTTTCCTCATCCCCATGGCCAGCTGAGAGTCCTGGAACCAGGGTAGCAGGAGTGAGTAAAGGGGGCTGTGGAGACGAAGTGGATTTGGAAGGCAGTGAGGTTACGGCTGGGTGAGGTACCAAGCTAGGGAAACACCGCCGATATGGAGAGAAGTGTGGCCTTTGAGCTGCGATCCCCAACACCGCTGTGTGGGTCCCCCCTTCAGCAACTCATTATTTAGGAGGTGGTGAAGGCGTCTGGTGCCCCACAGGGGTCTTGTAGTCTGCCTGACTGAGAGGGACGCAGCTGGGGCTGACATTCTAGGCTGATCCAAGGGTTTTGCTGCTTGACACTGTTTCAAATAGCACTAACTAGGGGGGCGACACCAACAAGCCACTCTCTCCCACCAAGAACAGCGGATAAGAAGGGATGACGATTACCCGCCACTAGAAGAGACAGTGTCCTCCTCCTGCTGCACCGTGGTGGAAACCTGTTTTCCTCCTCACTCTTGCTGGTGGATGATAACGCCTAGTGGTCTTGAACTCCAGCAGGCGTCAGAATCACCTGGAGAGCAGTTAGAAATAGACTCGCTCAGAACCCAATTCTGCGCCGCTGGCCCCCAAGGAATCTGATTCCTTAGACCAGTGGTTCTCAACCTTCCTAAATATCTGATGTGCAGGATGTATTTAGGCGACCCCTGTGAAAGGGTCATTCAACCCCCAAAGGGGTTGTGACCCACAGGTTGAGAACCACTGCCTTAGACTGAAGATAGGCTGTTTAACAAGCCCCCCAGGGAAATCGGATGGAGGCGTGCCAGGCCACACCCTGAGAAACACTGGTCTAGCCTGTGTACCTGACTTTGTCTCCCTCTCCCTAGGAAGTGCGAGTCCTGGGCCACAAATTCCGAAATCCAGTAGGAATTGCCGCAGGATTTGACAAGCATGGGGAGGCTGTGGATGGACTGTACAAGATGGGCTTTGGTTTTGTTGAGATAGGCAGCGTCACCCCAAAACCTCAGGAAGGAAACCCCAGGCCGCGAGTCTTCCGCCTCCCCGAGGACCAAGCCGTCATTAACAGGTAGGTGAGCAGCTCAGGGGTAACAGGGCCGCCTCCTCCGGCAGGGACCTCGGGATGTTCTTTCTGTCTGTGATGCAGGCATTTTTCTGTCATTGTCAGGAACCAGGTGGAGCACCTACTATGTGCCAGGCGTAGGAGCAGGTTTTGGGGTTTCAGTTTAGCACATATACACACTGAGGCTCAGAGAACAACACAACTTAGCTACAGCCACAAGGTCACAAGCAGGAGAGCTTGGATACAGATTTAGGCTTATTTGACTGTCGACTTTATGCTTTTTCCACATTGTTACTCCATTGCCCTTGCCCAGCGCTGTCTAGTAGAAATATAATGCAAACCCCATAGGTAACATAAAATAGTCTATGATAAAATAGCTATTTATTTTAGCTATGGTAAAGTAGTAAAAAGATGTAGGTGAAATGAATCTCAGTAATATATTTAGGTTTTTGTAATATATATTATTTAATTAAGTACTTAATATATTCTAAATATCATTTTATCATATAATCAACATACAAATGATTAATAAGCTACTGACCCACTTTTCCTTGTACCAAGTCTTCCAGATCCAGTGTGTGTTTTTCTTCATGTTTCAAGTGCTCAGTAGCACGTGTAGCTATGGCTCTTGTGTTGGACAACCCAGCCCCAACTTTAGTAAACTGGAAATTTTAATAATCAACATACACAGCTGCTTTTAGTAAGAGGGATCCTTCTAGAGTGTGTAAGTCCTCTTTATAACCCCTGCACAGTTTCTGTTCAGCAAGCCCAGAAAGCGAAGACGTTCCTACTTTTTGGTAACAGAATTTTGAAGAGCCTCTGAGGGGCCACTGTGGCCTCTGGAAGACGACCTATGGGGAGTTGACGTGGCTGCCACTTCCTGCTTGATTGTGCTTGCTTCAGGGAAATTTTCCAGCACTAGAGATCAGATTATTGATCTTTCTGCAGCATTGCAGGCTGGGGTCGGTATCTCCAGCACGTCCAAGTCGCTGCAGGTAGCAGGGTGCCGGTGCTCGCGGAACCCTTAGAGGAGACGCGGCTGAGAGCTTGTGCCCTGCAGCACGGTGGGTTCAGCTCCTTGCTCTGCGTGGCACACAGTGGGTGCTCAGTAAACTCTCTGAATGAACGGATAAGTTTATTCATCAGTCAGCCAGTGCACCTGCCACTGTGTCTGTTCGGTGTTTTCCACTGCAAGTAACCAAGTAGCTTAAACAATAGGTGCTTGTCCCCCTGGCACTGGGCAAGGAGACACCCGATTTGTGGTGTTGCTCTTACATCAATCAGGGGCAAAGCAGATGGACAGCCCTTGGTTCATCCTAGCTTGATGCCCGTGTTGGTGGCCAGAGCTGCTTCATGCCTGAGGCACATAAAAAACAAACAAAAAACTATAGGTGCTTGCTGTTATGTTCCTCCCATAACAGGTGCAGTGGGCACTTGCAGGGATGGTTGAGCAGCTGGGCAATGTCAGACTCTGGCCCAGCTTCTCTGGGCCTTCCCTTGTTTGTAAGACGGCTACCCCAGCTGCAAGCATTACGTCCTCCCGTGTGGACATCCGAGGGCAGACAGGGAAAAGGAAGCGTAGATGTGGGGGCATCCTAGGAGCCCCCCAAAGTCTGCTCTTGTGTCTCAGTGACCACACCCAGTCACTTGTTCATGCTTCAACTGCTAGTGGTCTGGGAAAGGAGTCATTGCCATTTTCACCCAGTCTCAGGGGGGCTGGGGAGACAGAGATGAGCGAGAGAGGTGAGGTCACTGCCTTTGTGGACTGTCTAGTGGCGGGGTGATGAGGATATGTCCTTGTCCTCAAAGAGGATGATGACCCGGAGGGGAACTTAAGCATGCATATGCATACATCTCACGCCAGGAAAAGACCAGTACAAAGCGCTCAGTGAGTGCCAAGAGGCGAGGAATCATTTGAGGCTGGGGAGCTTTTGATCTGGGCCAGGAAGAGGGGACAGTTTTAATAGGCAGATGGGCTGGGGAGATGTAGTGGCAGGGTGGGTCCCAGGAGGTGCATGCATGGAGCACAGGCAGAAGGTGGGAAGAAGGGGTTGTCAGAGTGATGACGGCTCCACTGGGTGGAGGGGTGCATAGGTAAGGAGTGGGGACTTTCTTCTAGGAAGTCCAGGGGCATGTAGACTTTGGAAGTCGTAAGAACTGACTCATTTTCCTTTTCTTTTCTGTCTTCGAAAGTCACACATATGGCCATGGAGCCATGTCTGCAGTCTGCCTTCTGGCTGAGGGCTCTCACCTTGTCCATTCCCCCTCTGCGTGTGTTACAGGTACGGATTTAACAGTCACGGGCTCTCGGTGGTGGAACACAGGTTACGGGCCAGACAGCAGACGCAGGCCAGACTCACAGAAGGTAAAGTGGGGCTGCCTGAGAGGGGCTTCCTTCATTTGTTGGAAGGAAACCTGTGGGAGAAACATCAGGGACATTCCTGGTGACATAACTGGGATTGAGCAATTGAAAAAAACACTGCAGAACTCAGGGCTCTTTCCTAGAGGAATTTTCCTGGTTTCCTGGTTCCACAGTTTCCAAGATTTTAACAGAATTTTGCAATGTAGCCAAGTTACGGAAGCCATGTTATATCTTCACCGGGCCAGGCTGGAAGTGAGCAGAGCGGAGTGGTGCCTGTGTGATCTCAGAGGCAGCTAAGCTGTGGGCAGGCTCGAGCACCAACTTCCTTGTCCTGCTCTGCTGTCCTGTGGCCCTTATATAAGTAGATTTATAGAGCGTTGCTAACCACAGAGAAGCATGGAGAAGACAATCAAGTGACTGACATCCTCCTCCACTGAGGGGTAACGACTCTCGGCATGTGGGAGTTTGGACCACCACGCGTTCCAGCTTCGCCGGCTCTCAGAACGCACTTGGTGGTCGCAGTGCTGTTGTCCTCCCCACCTCCCCACCTCCCCACGTGCTGTCAGGGATTGTCTGGGCTGCGGCCTCTCCCCTCGTTGGGTCCCTACAGCCTCCTTCCAGGAGGGTTAGTCCCATTAGAAATCCTGGTGGTGAGCGAGGCTGAAAGGGCGAGGCTGTCAGCAGTCTCTGGTGTGGGAGCAGGAAGGGCCCTTGTTTGGACAGAGGTGGCTTTGGCAGAACCAGAGCCTGCTGTGCTACACACCTGCTGTTTGGGGAACTCTGAAGGTCATAGTATGACTTTCATGGTTGTGATACTCTCCTGCCTCCCTTTCCCTTTGGCTGTCCACAGCGCTCTTCATACCAGCTCTCTCCCCGTTCTCCCTTGCCCATCCTCTCACCCGCGCTCTGGTGCTAATATTCTCTGGAGTGAAGCAAAATCCCATAGCAGAGCTCTGCACACAGAGTTTCCCAGCAGCTAGAAGCCTGAGGACAGCTGACTGCTGGTGCCATGCCAAGGAACAAGAGCTGACAAAGGCGGTGGTGCCCCTGGGGGATAGAGTAATTCAGCGATTTGTCAGTGTGGGGAGATGACTAGTAATGAAAAATCCGTTAGCTACGTGGAAGCAATACTGCTTTCAGGCCAGTTTCTTTGTGTGGAAAAAGAATGAGAACTTACAAATGCCCTTGGCTGGATGGAGGCCAGATTTGGAAAGCTAGGACATCATGTTGTATAACCTTTGTCCACTGGGTTCTAACTGCACCACCCCCTGCCCCTGCCACACACACAATTAGCTACACAAATGTCATTTACTTGCAAGCTGATGATAACAGGGTGATACTGTAGGGTATGAGAAGGTAGTCAGCAGGACTGGATGATGTTCTTTGATCCTCCTTGACCTGACACAAGTTTTCTGCGCTAACTTGATGTCTCAGGTCTTTTTCCCAACCGTCAGATGGAAAAGCAGCTGGTACCACTGACGTACCATTAACCTTTGCAGATAAGATGGTGTTTTAGGAGAAAACGCCTTGCTTTCACACAAAGTCTGTTACTGAAATGTGTTTTTTGGAAAGTCCAAAATGCAAGACATGTCATAATCCAATGGATTTTTCAGTAAGGTGTCTGTATTACTGTTTGAATTGAGACACTTTTGAGAGTGAATTAATAATATGCCCAGGCTACAGGACTAATCAGGGCCATCCTGGGAGCATTGGGCTATGTGATCACCGTAGTTATAGAGGGAGGCCCTTCTCAGAAAACTGAAATAAAACAATGATACGTCTACATGATAATTGAAAATAATATTTCCCAATATTTTATACATAGTCTTTAATTTTGGGTTTTCTTCACAACTGCACACGCAGTCATTCAAACCAAGTCCAGTGAGCAGCCCTTGAGAGTCAAGAATTGCCCCTCCTGACATTCCTATTGATTTCTGTCTGTTCTCGGTTGTATTACATTTATGAGCCCTACATTTTTTGTCACTAGTATTTGCATTCCAAATTTCTCCATTTTTCATCAAAATTTTTAAAACAACAAGGGTGTGCCCTAGCCGGTGTTGCTAAATGGTTAGAGCATCAGCCTGCACTGAAGGGTCCCGAGTTTGATTCTCGGTCAAGGGCCAACCTGGTTTGCGGGTTTGCAGGGCATGTACGGGAAGCAACCAATCGATGTGTCTCCTCTCTCACATGGATGTTTCTCTCTCCCTCTCTCTCCCCTCCTATCTCTCTCTCTCCCCCTCTTCCCTCCCTTCCACTCTCTGAAAAGCAATGGAAAAAATATCCTCAGATGAGGCAGGGGCGGGGTGGGGGGGAGAGTAAGGGCACAATGCAGTAAAATGTCTTAGTGGTTGCCCCAACATTGCTACTCAGACAAGATGGTGAGCCCTTTCCTGGTTGTAGGCAGCAGCACCGAGCAGGATATGTCAAGGAAATGGTGTGTGGGGACAAAACTTTGACCAGTGATATGTGCAGGTGGGCTGCCACTGGGAATAAACCTGGGGAAGAATAAGACCTCGGTGGATGCTGCCTCGGACTACGCAGAGGGGGTTCGAGTCCTGGGCCCCTTGGCTGACTACCTGGTAGTGAACGTGTCCAGTCCCAACACTGCCGGGCTGCGGAGCCTTCAGGGAAAGGATGAGCTGCGCCACCTGCTGACCAAGGTGGGAAATTACATTAAATCCTGTAATGCTTTCCTACAAAGCCCGCTCCTCCAGCCTGTCCTGTTCATTCTCCAGGGCCAAGCTTCCATGGCACCATGTAGGACTGTCCTTAACATTTCAGCCAGCTAGGACCCCTCACTGTGCCTCTCATCCCCACCATAACACTGATGATGCTCAGTAGTAGTTAATTTCTAAGTGTTCTGTCCCTCAAGTTCAACAATGAAGGAACCATAAATTTCATTTACCATGCTGTCCCTTAGCACCTAGGATGCTGAATGAATGAATGAATTGAATGACTTTTCATCACACAGTCTTGTTATGTCTTTTAGGAACAAAAGTCTAAATAAGCCACAATATAGTAGCCGATGCCCATGACCACATTAGGGACTCAGTCCCGGGGATTTCTTGGTTCAAGAGAATGGAATGAGGTTTGCCTGGATGGGCAATAGTGCATAACTGAGGGCTGTGTTTTCCGAGAAGGAGAAATTGCTCATGTTTCAGCTTGATAGCTGATGTGAAAATACACTGGTCTGCGCTGCAGGTCACAGTGCACCCCCAGCTGTGGTCTCAGGGCTCCCCATCTCTGGCCACTTGTCACTGTAGGTGCTACAGGAGAGGGATGCCCTGAAGGGAGCACACAAGCCGGCCCTGCTGGTGAAGATCGCACCCGACCTCACGGCCCAGGACAAGGAGGACATCGCCGGGGTGGTGAGAGAGGTGAGGGCCCTCATTCTGCCCAGACGCAGCCTCTGTGGTTTTCTCTGTGATACTGAGGGCTGGTTTGGTATTTGTCACGACTTAATTCATAAAAGTGGATGCTTGAATAAATGTTTGAATGAATCTTTTTCGGTGCCTCTTCCCTCCTCATCCAGCTGGGGCTTTCAGGCTTGTGTCCTTGCCAGCCTTGGTCAGAGTGGAGGACAGGCATACCTCGCTTTGTTGCATGTCACAGGCCCTCCACCAGCAAAGGGATCACAACTCGCTGTATTGCGAGACTAGCCTTATTGTGGTGGCGGGAACTGGACCTGCGGTATCTCCGAAGTGTGCCTGTGTTCCTCCCTCTCCAGTCTAGCACCTGGTCTCCATGTTGAAGGAGATTAGTGGAAACAGACTGAGCTCCGCAGTCCTGGGTTCAAATCTTGGTTCCATCACTTACTCCCTGGAGACTGGTAGACTAGTGGCTCTTAAATGTGATACAACTGAGAACAGACAGAAATCCATGGGAATGTCCGAGGGGCAGTTCTGGGCTCTCCGGGCTGCTCCTTGGGTTGTTAGAAGGATTCTAACCCTGTCCCAGGGGAGCTTTCTAGGCGGTCGCTATGTGACGGCAGCTGTTGTCATGTTGAGGCTTGTTTAGACACCTGTTCAGGAGCATAGTGAGTCCAGGGTAGTCCTGTGGGTGTGGGCACCTGGCTGCCTGCTGGCTCAGCCCCTGGGGCAGCTTCTCCGAGTCCGACAGAGCCCTGACTGGATAGCTCTCTCTCTCACACCGCAGTTGGGCATCGATGGGCTGATTGTGACGAACACCACAGTGAGTCGCCCTGCCAGCCTCCAGGGTGCCCTGCGCTCCGAAACAGGAGGGCTGAGTGGGAAGCCCCTCCGGGACTTATCGACTCAAACCATCCGGGAGATGTATGCACTCACCCAAGGCAAGGATTCCGTGTCCCCGTCAAGGATTTGTGTGTGGCTTGGGTTCTGGGGCTGTGATCAGAATCGGGGTTCCCTGGACCGCTGCAGTCAGCAGGTGGGCCGAGGGCTGGATCCCAGCTGAGCCCCTGGTTCCCACATTGTCATGGTGTTGCCCTGTGCTTTCCTACAGGAAGAGTTCCCATCATCGGGGTTGGCGGTGTGAGCAGCGGGCAAGACGCACTGGACAAGATCCAGGCGGGGGCCTGCCTGGTGCAGCTGTACACGGCCCTCACCTACTGGGGGCCACCTGTGGTGGGCAGAGTCAAGCGGGAGCTGGAGGCCCTTTTGAAGTGAGTGGGGCACGTGTGGCTTGAAACTGAGGTTAATGTATCAGTTCTGAATGACTTGAATCAAGGGCGTCTGACTGATCTGTCTTTACTCTTCACGCAAAAAGGATCTGAGGGGTGGGTATACTCAGAATGCAGGGGGAATTTACTCTGTTGCTCCTTTGATGAAGGACCAACGGTGTTGAAGATTAACGCCCAAGGCAATGGTGTGTATGGGCCTGCGGAGTCCTGGTGGCATTCTCCTCATTAATTCAGTCGCATTGGCTTGATGTCAGGGAGCTGTCATACTTAAAATCACCTGCCTTCTGGTCTGAGACCTGGGTGTTCAGATCTAGATTCCTGGGTGAAGAGTGCAGGGGCATGAGGTCTGTGTTTGGGATCGAGAGAGGGGGAGGTGCAGTTATGGAGCATGTGGAGCCCCGGCGAATGTGGGCGTCTGGTAAGAACAGGGCCTGTCCATCATTTGCTGAACTTGCTTTGTTTTCTCTTTTTCCAGGGAGCAGGGTTTTCCCAGCGTCACAGACGCCATTGGAGCAGACCATCGGAGGTGAGGACACTGTTGGTGGGAAGCCCGGTCCAGATGCTTCTTCCCACTAAGTCAGGCGAGCCTGTGGCTGGATCGAGAGGGAGGACTGTCTCAAGCCACATCCGCAAACCACAGGGGCCCCTTCTGTGAGGCCAGGCGGACTGTCAGAGCCACTTGCGAGGTCCCAGAATCAACACAAAGCTTTCTTCAGTCACCTGCCAGGAGGAACTGCAGCCGGGACCTTTTCCAGACTCAGGTCCCAGGATCCTTTCATATTGGGAGGACATGAGATATTTGGGGCCGGGGGCTCATGGAAAAAATAAAGCAATTTAAAACCTGGATAAACCCAGCTTTTTCTGGAAGGTCCACGGCTTCAGGCACTGCAGGTCCTTCCAGGCCTCTGCTATCTGGGTCTGCAATGGGTTTCCCAGAGCTTGACGCTTACGTTCTATTTTTGTTCTTATTTAAGTTTTAACTTAATTTTGAAAACATTTCAAATTCAGACAAAACTTGTAAGAACAGGGCTGTGGATAGCTGTCCTCTCCCTGTGTCTTCACAGCCTCTTCTCGCTGAGTGTCTGTGTCCTGATCACTTCTTACAAGGACGCCAGTCATTCTGGACTGGGGCCCACGCCAGTGACCTCATTTTAACTTGACTGCCTCGCTCATGACCCTGTCTCCAAGCAAGGGCACACTCTGCGGTATTGGGAGTTAGGATTTCAACACATCGATTTGGGAACACACAGCTCAACCCATCACAAGAAGTCACGTGTCATGTGACGTGGGTGCCATCAGGCACATAAGATGTGAGACGAGAGACTGAAGAGGTGTAGTTGTTAACTAAATACAAAGAGAAACACCAATCTTCTCAGTCCTGGGAAGCACACGGGCAAGAGAAGTGTGAGCCTCGCCTGGGAAGTGCTGTGGTGCCTGGCACGCCTTCTCAGCCAACAGAAAATCACCTTTGTTCCCTTTGCCTCAGAACAGACTATTTTGATTTCTCGGTAGCTTTGGGGAGAAGCACGGAGCTGCAATAGCGATAACGTGTCCTGTTGCCTCAACTTTTCATCTCGGCCTCAGCCTGGGCCTCCTTCTCCCCATTCACTCTTTGCCAAGAAACAGGGAGCCGGTCTCCTGCTGTTTTTCTTCCAAAGGTTTTTTCCTGGTTTTTATTTTATTATGAAAATACCTACTCATTAATAAATTTATATCATACAGCCCCCAAGTAAAAGCTGTCTACCTCTTCACCCCTTCCCAAAATGATTCCACTTCCCAGAGGTAACTTCGGTATCTCTAGATAGTTCTAAACATTTTTCTTTGTATATATGAACATCCGTATCCATTACTACTTTTTTAATCTAGCTGCATGCACATATATAGAAATGTTTCAAGAACAGTGCCAAGAACTGTTTTAATACTAAGTCACCTGAGAGTAAATTGCTGACCTGATGCCCCACCATCATCAATGTCCCTGTGGATTCTTTGCAAACAAGTACCTTCTGTTACAAACCACAATGCAACCATCGAGGTCGGGATATGGCACTGATACAGTTGCGTCCATCTGATGCCAGGCCATGGGAGCAGAACTTCTAAAATGCCTCCTGTCCCCAGATGCCCTGCCCTAACCCCTGGGACCTACATTCCCAGGACTGTGCTGTCGAATGGTTTAAGACAGGAACCCTCTTGAAGATAGATTATCCATGTGGGTCTAATCTAATAAAGGGTCCTTGAAAGAGACACGAGAAAGAACGAAAGTGTTGCTACTTTGAAGATGGGGGTGGGGGTGTCACCCAGGGTGTGACTTAGATAGATAGCCCAGTGCCCATTTTGGCAGGAAAATCACATGTGCAGAACATGGGGTTCATCTGGCTCTGCTGTCGGTGGCAAATGGCCCAGCTCCATCTGGGAGAGGACTGCTCTCCAGCTCCAGGTGGCTTGCCACCCAGGAGGGCCAGGCAGCATCTCATTGATCAGAGAGGCAGAAATCAGCATGTTTTATGTGGCCGTATAACTCCCTAACTCCTCTGAGCTGAGCATACCAGCAGGAGGAAGGCGATGGGTGGAGGGATATCAGGAGAATGACCATCTCAGCCAGCCCCCTTCTGCACCCCCAGACAGGAGGGCCCCAGGGATGACTCACCGTGGGTGGGGGGAGAGTGCAGACTTGGAGTCGCCTTAGGAGATTTACCAATCCCCGCTGACGCCCATTTTCTCTCCTAGAAAAACAGTGGTTTGGAGGGTAAAAGAAATCTAAACAGTAACTTTTACAGGGATGCATCCTATGTTCCGGGCACATGTGTACTTACTGGCAATGGCAATCATGTAAAGTGTGCATGCCTCAGTTTCCTGTTGTGTATAATGGGGAGAAGCACACTACCCATCTCAGTGGGTTGTTAGGAGATTATATATGAAGTGCAATAGTGCTTAGCCCATCCTACCCTCCTAATAAATGTTATTTTAATATCCAAATCCCCACAAAAGTCCTGCAAGTAGGTATTATTGCACCTGTATATATAGATAAAACCAGAGCTTTGAGGAATTAAACAGCTTCTCCAAACCAGGCAGCTTGGAATCGGCAGAACTGAGCGCAGGCCCTGAGTTATCTTCTCACGCAGGGAAGGGCCGCACGGGGCCTCTGAAAAGCACTATTAGTTCCTTTTCCCTACAGAGAGACTTCGTGCTGCGTGCCATTACTTGCTTCCATGGAACCTTGCCCTGGGCCCTTGAGTGGTCTGACAGGAGGTGGTGAGGAGCGTCCAGTGGTCAAATCTCTGAGCTTCTTACAAGTGGGACCATCCTGTAGGAACCACAGTGCCCACCAGGGCTGAGCCAGAGGCTGGACGCGGTCACTTATTATCCCACACGGTGCCCTTGGGCCAGGAATTCAGGAGCAGCTTAACTGGGGGGCTCTGGCTCCGGGTCTCCCATGAGGTGGTAACCAAGGCACTGGCTGGGGCTGCAGTCATCCAGGGCTAACCGGGGCTGAAGGATCCACTAGTAAGATGGGTCACTTCCGTGGCTCATGAGGTGGTGCTGGCTGTTGGCCAAAGTGTCGGTGGATCTCCCCATGGGCTGCCTGAGTGTCCTCACACCACGGCATCCGGCTTCTCCCAGACTGAGTGATCTAAGAGGGACGGAGGTGAAAGCTGCAATGCCTTTTATGCTCAGAAGTCACACATTGTTACTTTTGCCACATTCATTCTTCTATTCACTGGAACAGGGTTGCCAGTTTTAGTAAAGCAAACAAAAACAACAGGATGCCCAGGTAATCTGAATTCCAGTTAAACAATGCATACCCTTTAGTACAAATATGTCCCACAGAGTAACTGGGGCATACTTAACACGAAAATTTATTCGTTGTTTTTCTGAAATTTAAATTTCATTTGGGCATCGTGTATTTTATCTGGCAACCCTATGTTAGAAGTAAATCACTTAGTCCAGGCCACCCTCAAGGGGCGGGGAATTAGGCCCCATTTTTGAAGGAAGGAATGTCAAAGAATTTGTGGAGCTATTTCCAAACCACCACAAGCAGAATTTTGAAAAATGTCCTTTGGTCCTGGTGTCTGTGGGTTAACTGCATGAGCGCGTAACAGGATGAAGTAGTTCTGGGGCGAGCAAGGTCATCTTCCTAATCATCTTGCACATTTGTTAGCTCACAGCAAATCACACACGACTTCTTTGATCCTCACACAGCCCTGGAGGTGGGTGAGGCAATGACTACGATCTCCATTTTACAGATGAGGACACCGAAGTTGAGTGCCTGCTCCAAGATGATATGGGCAGAAACGGGGGAGGGAGGACAGAGGCTCCTAACGAGGCTGTAACTGAGGCATTGGCCTGTCTTGGATTCATCTTTAATCTTCTGTCACGTTGTTATTTCAAATAGGTGATGGGCTGTGTGGATCCTTGATGCCGTGCTGCCTTCCGAGTGATGGGGAAGACCCTCCAAGAAGCTGAGGGCCAGATGCAGTCTTCTCGCTCCCCATCTCCACAAGCTCCAGGACCCCCTGGCTAAGCCTGGGGGATGCACCCCACCACCTGCAGACCCTTTGAGCTGACTGGCTGCGGAGTGCTGAGAGGAACATCATTCCCTTTCGCCAGGAGTCAGCCAACCACACATGAGACTGTGGACCAGCCGGGTCAAACAGAACTACTCTCCCCACTTTTTATTATAAGAAATTTAGACACAGAGAAAAGTTGAAAGGGTAGTATAATAAATATCCATACCCCTTCCACCCACTATACCTAATTACTATGAGTAATTCTTACTATCTAGCTAATAAAAATATCTTTTCCGTGTTTTCTTTATAAATATCTTTACCTATTTATATGCAGAATTTTGACAAAACATTTTGAAGGAAGTGGTAGATTTGGGACACCTCACTCTTAGCTTGCATTTTCTAAAAATAAAAATATGCTCCTATGAAAACATAATTTATGATTACATCTAATAAAATTAACCATGATTCTCTAATATCATCTAACATTCAGTCCATATTCTAATTTTCCCTATTGCCCTCAAAATATCTTCTATAGTCAATCAAGGCTCACCTATATGTCTCTTTAGTCTTTTAAAATCTAGGACAGTCATCTCTGAAGAGATAAGGCCAATTAATTGTCTTATAAACAGTTCTACGTTCCGAATTCTCAGAATAAAGACTATATTTCCTGATCTCCATTGTAATAGGATGTGGATACCAAACATCTACTCAATGAGATATATGTGAAAGTATTGTGTGCCTCTTCTGGAAGTCAGTCGCTGCCTGGGACATGAGTATGATGGCTGGCGCTCTGGCAGCCATATTAGACCTTAAAGGCAAGAGCTGGAAAGAGCTTAATAGAATTGACAATACCAGGTCTGTTTGCTTACTTCCCCACTTCTTGTTTCCCACCTCTTTCTTCTTTTTAATTATGTGTTTATTGTTTTTAGAGAGACAGGAAGGAGAGGATTAGAGAGATAGAAACATCAACGAGAGAACATGGATCTCTGGCTGCCTCCTGCACATCCCCTACTGGGGATTGAGCCCCCAAACCAGGCATGTGCCCTGACTGGAAATTGAACCATGACCTCCTGGTTCATGGGTCAAGGCTCAATCACTGAGCCACACCGGCCGGGGCCCAGCTCTTTTATTTGAGAAAATAAAATCTTACGTGCTTAAGTCCCTGCTAATTGGGGCTTTCTCTCATATTTAGCCACATTCAATTCTAGCTGATGAGAAAAGCCACATTGAGATATCTTGTATTGACCTGTAAGATACGTTAGTCTATTTCTCAGGATTTCCCTTTCCTCCAGGTGCAGATTTCTGGCAGCACATCCTGACAATGTCCTCAGGCTATCGTGTTACCTACCCTGCGGTGTTGAATGAATCTTGGCAGTCGGGAAATTGCTGTAAGAACCTGTGGTTATAAATATGGGAAATAAAGTAGAGGTCACGGGTAAGAGGACACCAGGGCCAGGGCTGAGAGGTGTGTGTGGGGAGCAGGGGGGAGTGACTTGGCGTTGGCACATGGCAGGTTTATGTAAGACCTGGGCAGCAATACAGGGGCGAAGTTCCAAAGGGCAGGGCTTTTAGCAGAGGTAACACAATAAACATGCAAACTCCTTGCATTCTTGCCAGCCAAGAGGAGGCTTCCTGGGTGTTGAAAACTCCATTTGAAAAGTGGCCCACAGGAAACAAAAGGAGTTGCAGCAGGTGAAGGCAACCTGGCTGCACCCCCTATGCCTGTCAATCACCAGGGCTGCCTTGGTGGGCCTGGAGGGTCAGAGCGTTTCCTGGGTCAGCACCCAACTCGGCCTGCCTAGAGCAGGTGGAGGATGTGCAATCTTGGTGCTGCCATTTCAGTCCTCGGTAATCTGAGAAGCTGGTCAGTGTTTTGAGCTTCGACCATCCTCTTGGATGTTGAATTTTGAGTCTGTAATAGATCTAGACATCTTCCTACCTCAATAAAGCAAAAGGTGTGGGTCCCAAGTCTGGGGACCTAAAAGAAATCACTGTGGCCGAAACCGGTTTGGCTCAGTGGATAGAGCGTCGGACTGCGGACTGAAGGGTCCCGGGTTCGATTCCGGGCGAGGGCATGTACCTGGGTTGCGGGCATATCCCCAGTGGGAGATGTGCAGGAGGCGGCTGATTGATGTTTCTCTCTCGTCGATGTTTCTAGCTCTCTATCTCTCTCCCTTCCTCTTTGTAAAAAAATCAATAAAATATATTTTAAAAAAATTAAAAAAAAAAGAAATAACTGTAGTTGGGTCAGAATTTCAACTGATGTTACCATTAAAAAATAAACGCACATATAAATATATAAATGCACACATGTGTACACACACACACACACACACACACACGAGAGAGAGAGAGAGAGAATAGTGCTGACTCCGATGCATTTGTTCTTTCACTCACTCTTCCAACAATCACTTGTTGAGATCTGACTTCCTCCCACTGGCTGTGCTATGTGGGGAGATGCAGATAACTTTTTCACCATCTCTCTGTGCCTCACAAGAGAAAATACAGCCCTACCGGTGTGGCTCAGTGGTTGAGCATCAACCTATGAACCAGGTCACTGTTTGATTCCCGGTCAGGGCACATGCCCAGGTTGTGGGCTTGATTCCCAGTAGGGCGCATGTAGGAGGCAACCAATCAATGATTCTTATCATTGATATTTCTTTCTCTCTCTCCCTCTCCCTTCCTCTCTGAAATAAATAAAAATAAATATATTAAAAAGAAAGAGACAAATACAAACACAATTGGCCATAATCTATTGGGTCACAACCTACAACAGTGGATGGAGCCCAGTCCTTCCCTAGCAGAGAGGGGAGTCGCTGGGGGCGCAGCCAGGTACAGCTGCTCTGTGTGGCCAGGACTAATGTCAATTTCCTGGGACCATAATTACTCAAATCCCTGATGGCTCAAAAGCAGAAACCCGTTTAACACCACTCCCTCCAGAGATCTGTCATGGGACGGAGTGGGTGGCTCCACTGTTCCCAGAACCTGGCTGGCTCCCAGGGAACACTGCTCCCAAATGCTTGGTCAGGGAGTTTCCTTGGTCTATTTCCTAATGCATTTCTCAGCCACAGCCCTGCTTCCCGGCTGTGGCGCTCCCCCAGGGCCTGGATCGGGGCCCTGGAGTGTTGGGATGGGGGATAGTTGAGGGGAGGGAGTTGGCTCCCGCTCAGAAGGAGCCTCCACTTCCCAGCATCAGGCCTCTCCAGCTCGGTGCCCCTGCGTTAGGCCCTCCTTGCCCTCTCTACTTGGAAGCACTGCCTGAGTGAGGGTTTTAACGGACACACACACACACACACACACACACACACACACACACACACGGTTCTTAATGGACTTTGATGGCCTTAGAGGTATCTCTAATGGTGAGAACTCAGGGCTGATTATGTGAGGGGGGCTTGGAAATCCCGTAACGTTTTCATCAGGCAGGAGAGGTAGCACCCCAGCTCGGCCCAGGGCTTGGCCTGGGTTGGAATCCAGCCTCTGCTACTTAACTACATGACCTTGAGCAAGTTCCTTATCTTCTCTGTGCCCATTTGTGAAAACAGGGTTATTAGATAATAGAAGGATCTGCTGCTTCAGGCTGTTGAATAATTAAAGGAAAAAACATGCAGAAAGCACACATAACAGTGCCGGGCACTTAGTAGGAACTCGCACAGTGTTAGCTGCTATTATTGTGAGGTGAGCGCCTGTTCCTCTAAGGTACTTGTAGAGCTGGTTCCACCAACAGCCTGTACGCCTCTGGGGTCCTGATCTTACTGCAGCTGGAAGCTGAGGTGACAGGCAGGAGTGAACCCTGTTGTATGTTCATCTCTCCCTCACCGCTGAGTTTTTTCGGGCAGAGGCCATGTCTATCATCCATTCAAGTCAGCAAGCTGACTTGAGCGTCTGTGTGTGCCAGGCTTTGCTGGGTATAGTGATAAAGATGAGTAAGCAAATGCCAACATGGCCCCCTACCTGGTTTCCCGGGAACTAGAAGAAGGTTTGTCCCAAAAATGCAGGTGGAAGAACTGAGGAGGGTTGAGATATGAATTCTTGTGAATACAGATTTAATTTTAAAACTTATATTAACATCTTCACACCTTTGATCTCTGATGAATTTCTTACTGGGAAAGGCAGATTGTAT